CAACAGTTTTCGCCGCGAGTCGTGAAAACGGACGTGACGAGGAGACCAAGGGGAGAGGGAGGAGGGAGGAGGGGGAGGGGGGAAGTCGAATTGAAATTGAAAACTGCGCGAGGAACGCGAAAAACGTCGGGAGAAGAATCTAATTTAAAATGGTCAGGGAATATCGAGAGCGCGAGGAAAAAGCAAGGAAAATTCAGAGACTCCCAAGAAATGCTGGGGAACTTTATGAGAATTATGAAAATCCCTTGGAATTTTGCAATTCCTGTCGCAGTTGATGATAATACGGAAAAGGATCATTTATTCATCTTTTTTTTTTATTCGTTGATATTTGAATTTATATGATTCATTTTAATTTATATTTTAATATTGCGCAATTAATCGCGACGTTTATACAATACGGAAAATTTAATAATAGAAATGATAAACGCTCTTTGTACATACGTCATTTTTTATTTTTCTCGTTTACAATTTTGAGGTATTTTCTTTATTTTTCCATATTTTGATAAAAACATGAAAATAGACGAAACTTCGCGCAAATTACGAAAATCGGTGAAAAAGCAAATAATTATTTTTTAAAAAGAAGTAGAAGAAAACAAAGTTTTCAAATATCAAAATAATCGTAATAATATAGTTTAATGTATGACTGGCTTATTTAAATCCTGCATTTATAATATAAAATTTAATTTGAGAAACGTTAATTGTAAAATATAATAACATTTTAATCCAACGGAAAATGTAATCTGAAAAATATTGTAATGTTGATTTTATAATGTTGTATAAGAAAAAAAAAAATATTATAGTATCGCATAAAATGAGAGCATAATGATTTATAAAAAGTCTATGTATAAGTGCGTGTATTATCTGTATTTTTAATTCTGTACGCTCTTGAAATTAATATGAGGTGCATTTTTAACGCTCTTGGCGAGTTTGAAATATTTTGATAAATATTTGATTGCTCGATATTGTGAAATCTACGCTGCCCTACTTATTTCTACATACGGTATTTTCATTACCGTATTGTTCCATTATGTATAACACACACCGAGTTCTACATTACACGCGAATTACTCTACCTGGACCAGAGAACGGTAATCACATGGGAGTCGTCAATGTGTGAGGCGCAAGAACCAGGACTAGAATAATGCACGAGCATTTCAGTGAATTATTCAGTTCCGAATATGCAATTTAAGAAATAACCATGTTTGAACAGCGTCACTGTCACTGTTTTCAGACTTCAATCAAGACGGCCGGCCGGATAACATCAGCTTCATGATAAAGCGCGTCAAGGTGCACAGCGAGGACGCGTTGAGAGATCCTAATTATCGTTTTCCGGGAAATTACGGGGTGGAGAAATATCTAGAGCTCTTTTCAGGTAAGGGCTAATGTCGCTTCTGTTAATAAGCCGCAATGTGGCGCGTAATGTCAATACGTCAATATCCGTGCGAGGGAATTGCGGAACTGATAATACGTCGATGTTTGTCTTGTTATAGAGGAGGATTATGACGCATTCTGCCTGGCTTACATGTTCACGTATCGAGACTTCGAGATGGGAACCCTGGGCTTGGCGTGGACAGGCGACCTCAAGAACGCCGGCGGGGTGTGCGAGAAAAATGGGGTATGACACCAACGAAAAAAGTATCACCCATGAAAGAATGTTAATTATATTTTTTTTAAACACAACTGAGAGGAATCATGGCCAATTCCTCGGCAAGCAGGATCTTAGGTTCGCCGAGGAATTGGCCGATGATGGCATGATTCTCCCTCAGTTGTGTTTATTAACAGAACCTAAGATCCTGCTTGCCGAGGAATTGGCTATGATTCTTTCAGTTGTGTTTAAAAAAATATAATTAACATTCTTTCATGGGTGATACTTTTCGTTGGTTATATTCGATTTATATTGATGTATTGTTTATATTCTTTTATAGGTACACACATATACATATACATATACATACAAATGGTACAAGAATAATTAAATCTGAGAGAGAAGAGGAAAAAAATTTACATTTAAATTAGATTTAAACAAATACAATTTATCTATCGCTAAATGTGTCGAAACTGACGTTACGTTTAATAGTGTAATTTTATCCATCGTCGTGCGATTAGCTAATTTATTCAACGAGAGAGAACACTTATTTTCTATCGCGTGATTTCTTTTCGCGATTTCGTTGAAGCGTCGAAATTGTCGCGCATACGAAACTCTCGGCGATAAAATAATCGTCGAAATAACGTTGCAGCATTATCGTGGCAGCATGAAGTCATTGAATACTGGTATAGTGACCCTATTAAATTACGGGAAGCACGTACCGCCTGCGGTCTCTCACGTTACTTTGGCTCACGAGATCGGCCACAACTTCGGCTCGCCGGTACGTATACACTTCCGTTAGTCGCGTTCAGAGCGGCGCGTTCCACATTCCGCGGCCTTGTTATACGATGTTGTCCCGTCAATAAACGAATGACGCGCGTACCGCCCCGTGTACCTTATTGTTCTTACTCCGTCCAGCACGATCCGGAACAATGTACGCCGGGCGGCGAGGACGGCAACTTTATAATGTTCGCCCGTGCCACCAGCGGCGACAAGCGCAACAACAATCGTTTCAGCCCGTGCAGCCTGAACGCCATAAATCCCGTTCTCAACAGCAAGGCACGTTCGCCAAAGGGATGCTTCACCGGTGAGTTTTACACCCCTTACCTACCGTGACTTGTGTCGCGACGTCGCCGGAGCGAAACGAACTTGATCGAACGTTCCTCTCCCACCCCCCCACCCCCTCCCCGGTCTGCTCCACCAATTATTCCATTCCCCGCTTGCTGTAACTCTGACTCGCTCTGTACTCTGCATTGTTTATCGCAGAACCGCAAGTATCGCTGTGCGGCAACGGCGTGGTGGAGGAGGGCGAGGAGTGCGACTGCGGCTGGGAGGAGGATTGCAGGGACTCGTGCTGCTTTCCTCAGCGCCGTTATCCGCCGCCCGAGGAGACCCCGTGCACGCTCACACCACGCTCGGTGTGCAGCCCTAGTCAAGTATGTATGACGCCTGTAAAAAAAGCCGCGAGTATATGTTGGACTGTATTGTCGGGGGAATTTTAGGACGACTTTCCTGCCTTCTCAAAATTTAAACCGGCGCGCTTGTAGCCGCGCTTGCGCCCTTTCAATCCTGAATATTAAATGTTGAACGTTCAAGAGCCTAAATTTTTCAAACGTCTGCTTGTCCAGCTATGTATTTAAACTTTTTAGTCGAAAATGTTTAAATGTGCAAATACAGCACAGCATATTATTAATGATACCTTTATCTGTGTCATATCGCGATAAATTTTTTACAAAGCCATATTATATCTTTAATATTTAATAGTATTTCCGCTGTATGAAACGATTGGGGGGCGCATTTAATGCGATGAGCAATGCGTTTAATAATTGGTCACACAGTATGCATATTTCATGCAAGAGATATTGAAAACGTGCACGGTTATCACTCGTTTTCCGTTTTAGTTTGTCGGAAATGTTAATTAATTTAAGCGGCATTCTGTGAAATTTACTTTGAAGGATTTATTCACAGATTTATGTATAATGTAATTACGGTGGCGCATTGTGCGTATATGATATAATATAATTTCAATTGACCGGTTTGCTCTGTTTGCCTCTTCTTTCCAGGGTCCGTGCTGTACCGCCGAGTGTACCCTCCGCTTCGGAGACAAGTGCAGAGACGACAACGGATGCCGCGATGCGAGCTTCTGCGACGGTCGATCTCCTTATTGCCCGCCGTCCATTAACAAGCCCAACAAGACCATCTGTAATCGCGAATTGGTCTGCTTCATGGGGGTAATTATTAGTCTCATTAAAAATCAAATATGTGCTCTTATTAAATGAACAAGTACGATTTGCCTCACGTGCATGAAATTTGGATCTGCAACAGGAGTGCACCGGCAGCATTTGCCTGGCGTACGGATTGGAATCTTGCCAATGCATACCAGGCCCGAATGATCCGCCGACGAAGGCATGCGAGTTGTGTTGTCGGCACCCCGGGGAAAATCAACCGTGCCTGTACGTTTATTTTGCTTTTATTTCTTGGATCGATTTACGCAAAAATTTGTTGAATTTAATCAACAATTTTTTTCCTTGTAGGTCGTCTTTTGACTGGAATTCCCCGCCGTACGATATTCCCGACATGTTCTCGAAGCCAGGAACGCCATGTAACGATTATAATGGTTACTGCGATGTCTTTCAAAAATGTCGCGAGGTAAGCGTAACTTGGTCATGGAGGATAGCGGATAGTAGGTAGCGGCGTTAATTAAAATATTTTATTCAGGTCGATCCAAGCGGTCCATTAGCAACTTTAAGGAAGCTCTTATTATCCGACGAGAGCCTCGCCACTTTTAGACGTTGGGTCGCTGAACATTGGTATGCAGCTGCTCTGATAGTTTTAGCGGCAATATCATTGCTGGTACGTATTTCATTAAAGATATTACCTATTTTTTTCTTGAAAATTAACGTTTGTGATAATTGTTATTAATTTCTAAAACCAAAATTTATAGATTTCTATAATTTTTCTATCGTTTATCATTTCAGTTTATCATTTTTAATGAATAATTAATTCGACGGAATTATTATTTTAAACAAATGTTGTTTTCGTAAAGATAAGTGCAAACAAAAAAAACAATTATGTTATGTATTTGTATATTTATATTTATATTAAAAATGTTTAACTATCAGAAACGACTAAGGAAAAGAGAGAAATACAACGAGAGTAAGTGTAGGGACACAAAGTATGCTATTTGTAATTTAATAATATTTGTTGTAAATGGATTAATTAAACTGCTTTTTATAAAGAAATTATTGCCATTACGTTATTATATCTTTTTCTGCAGTGCATAAAAGTAGAAGCAAAAGTTTCTGTAGTTGCTAAGTAACGTAAGTTTTAATTACTCTTTAAATAAAATGGTAATTAGAAGTTTTACTAATTATATGTTTTTGTATATTACTAAAATTCATAATATGTAAAGAAATACATATTTATATATGGTAATAATATCTTATTTCTTTGTCTTTCTAAATTCGTATATTGTTTACGAGAAAATAAATAAAGCAGATATTTATTTATTAAGATTTATTTTTCTTCTTTTAGGTGGCCAGCATAAGATTATTGGGCAAGCGACCGGACTTGAAACTGAAGTCCGTCACGATAATCCACAGTTCTACGACGGAAACGGTGCGGCTTCCGCCGGAGGGTACGGAAGGAGTGACGGTACATCCGCCGGCGGTACGCGCTAAACTTCCTCTTAGCAGAAAAGTCAGAGAAAAAAGACGTCATCGTAAACCTAAAGACGGCGGCCATGCCGATAAGTCCAATAATAAGGTAAAATTAATTTAAATAAGAAAATTAAAAAATAAGTTACTTTTTATTGTTTAATTATTCTATGTTTAATATTGTTTATTGTTCATTGTTAATTATATGTTTAATATTGTTTAGTATATTAATGTATTAATTTGACATTTTACATCTGGGAATTTAAATTCGCTAGATTACATCCCTTGTTTGTATTTAAAGGATGCTAAAAAGAAGCAGCAAAACCAACAAACCAAGAGATCATCTGCTGGGCAGATGGACGATTTTGCACGGAAAAGATCGGCCGACGTCTTGGCTGCTGTAGTACAGGAAAATAAGCGGAAGAAAATCACATCAGCAAGGGATAAAGCACAGGGTGCCAGCAATAATCCGACTAGCAGTAGTGGCGATAATGATAAGAGAAAGCGTAAAAAGCAACACAGGAAGGAGGTAATCGACTACTCAGCAATTCAAGCGGAAAAGGAGCCGGAAACAAACGCTGATCCTAAGAGCAAAGTACGCTCTTGGTTATTGGCATCTTCGCAGTGCCGACCAGAGACCAGCGTGCGGACTAACGTGAACGGTTTGCCAAAAAGTAAATCGACTCCGGTAGGTTTGACCAGCGGAGGAATGGTGGGATCCAGAGTACCAATGTCGAGGCAACAAGCATTGACATCTACGCGACGTCCTGGTGCGGAAACCGGAAGAACGGAATTGAAGAACTCGTCAAATTCACTCGCCAGAAAAGAACGGGCGAGGCTTCAAGTAGTGTACAAGCCGCCGTTCCGGTTTAGCGTGAAGCTACGTAAATCTGACAAAGTGGCGCAAGCACCCGCTACGGCTGTGAATCATACGAACGCGAATAATAGGACGACGAAGCTACCCAGAACAGGAGTGCTTCTGCGAACGGCCAAGAGAAAGGACCGTGTCAGAATAGGTAGAGCGCGACAGATCGCCCCTACCGGCATTGGGAACAGCGGCGGCGATCTACCGGAACCGGCCAATTCCGACTTGCATACCGTACCCTCTGATCTGGAAGTATTGCTGTCCGAGAGCGAATTCCTCTTCTCGGACACGTGACCATGGATTTGGATAAGGAGCATGTTTGAATTCGTTTCGAGTCACTACGCGATTAAGTAGCTCTTGCATATTTTCATCCCTTCTCTATCCGAGCACGAGAATAAATGAAATTTTAGGATGCGTGGGATGATAGATAATTTCGCGTTGAATCGTTAACTCGAGCGTGGAAGAATCCCGTCCGAGAACGTGGAAGGGAAGGCTCATTTAGTTTAATCTGTCGAACGAGATTTTACTTCTTTTTTTTCTATTTGGTTCTTTCTTTTTAAGTATTTTTTTGCCAACTGCCCTGTTTATATTGCATTTATTTTCATAGTTCTTCCTTTCCGCATCTCTAGAGCGATAACGCGGCGATCAATTGTGATGAACATTTTTCATCGTGTTTGCGCGATTGCGATGAACGGAATTCGCGCTTCGACAAACATATGCATATATAATACGCCGTTGCTAGTTTTTGATCAAGCCAGTTTTCTTCTTCCAAAGAAAGGGGCCAAATTCACCGTTTAAAGTGCGACTGGTGTAAGCATCACAAGTATATAAATACTGATCTACTCGCTTATCTCCCGGAACTATGCTATGAAAGCAGATTACAATTTGTTTTCAATGGTAGCTTTAAATTTTCAGGGATCAGTACGCAATACACATTAATCTCAAAATGCAACGTGGTATTTTGGGGGTGTCGAAAGTAATGCTTTCTTATTAAATCTTAAAGTCTCTTTACACTGTGCCTGTACTGTTACTCTGTACTCTCTTTTCTGACGTTTTCTGCCGCAAAGAGGGAAAATGACGTAGTTTTCGTTTAAATGACGATACTTTGTCGTGAAAGGATGATAAAAGATGAATTACGTTAATCAACAGCCTTGATTAACTTTTATTAATAGCTATCTTTGAAATTATAGCTCTAGTTATAATGTAGTTATAACAGATACTATGTTACAGTCATTGCTATGACTACAAAATATTCTATATTTTAGCCTTAGCTGTAACATAGCTATTATAAATTTTATATTATAGTCCTAGCTATAATATAGGTTAAGTATATTAAATACATTAATTTGCCACATTATATTTTTAGCTATGGTATGATTGATATATACTCTATATTATAGCTATTATTATAATGTAATGTACTAACGTACGTATGTTTATATTTGTAGCTAGGGCTATGATATCGACGCAGAGGAACAAAATTTAGCATACCATAATCAGAATTGATCTGATGTTGATTCTTAAGGAGCCCTAGAACGTCAGGCAGTTTTGAACAGATCGTCGGGTGGTTCTTTTGTTTATTTGCCACCTGACCTGCCTGTAATGTTAAAATTATTATTCACTTGTGGTTCCTATTGTCGACAATTCCTAATCGCATCTCGTGAAGCATCTTATCGAATATATTTTGTGTCTTCAGCATGTCCATGAGAATCGCGAGACGAGTCAACAACGGACATTGCTTATATTTTTAAGATTGTACAAAATATCTTCAGCGACACCCGCTATGCCGAATTTTAGCGATTTCCGTTGTTTGTGACTAGTAAAGAAGGACATGCTAATTCTCCTACTTCAGATTCAATTTCTAACTCCGATATTTGATGCTATCATTTGGTATTTATATCTTTTACATATGATTGAATTTCTGAATGTAACTTCCATTTGTAAATATGCTTTACCGCTCAGACATTCCTGTTCGCTCTGCAAAAGATAAGTTGCTTAAATCTTAAAATTGATTGCTCTGTTTAACTTTTTTTTATAAAGATACTACGTTCACAAAGTTGAAAATAACATTTATCTAACTTCAAAAATTAAATTAAAGAAAGATACGATATAACTACAATAAAATTAATTCGCAATAGAGTGTTAGAAGAATTACAAGTGTTTTTTGAAATTCGTACATTACACAAAACAGACTTCTATCGAGCTTGCTTAATCGACTTGTACTTTCTTTTGCAACGCGTAGTCGAATGTGTTAGCCGAGTTTAAGTTCCTTGTGCTCGCGGCACGTGCACTCGAGCTAAAAGCGTGTCTCGGTACAGAGTACGACGGTACGTTCACGTTTTCCATGACTCTGCTTCATGTGCATTCCTCTCGGGCGCGTCGCCGCGATCCCCCGAGCTGCCACGATTTCACTCATGGCGACAAAACCGCGATAGCCGACTCGGTTAATCGGTTTATGAAATCGACTCTACTAGCTCTTATTAGCCAACACGTATGAGTACGGTTAATGCATCCTCTTTAAGATCCGTTTACGATCGCCGACTTCTCATACCGGCCTGATGTGCCAAAAACGTATGAGTACGCTGTACAGTAAAGTAACAAAGTCGGATCGATACGGACTCGATACTCAAGGATAATAACATTAATAATATTAATACGCTCGTTGGCGGCATTCATTTTTGTATCATTCCTTAACAAGAAGTATTATTCAGTGGAATAGTGAGAGGTAGAGATAACGTAAAGATAAATTTAGTTAACATCTTACGCATAAATTACTAAACGACTGTAAACAGGGTCTGATAGGTTTCTTTTAATTTGATTTGTTCAACTAAAATTATTATATTAGCATTCTTGTGTATGTACTTACAAAAATTTAACATAAGCGAATATTAATTGCGGAATATACTGTTCGAAGTTGAATGAGTTAGTTCTTCCGGCAAGCGAAAATTTCCAAACTGTATTGAATTAAAGAAAACTGCTTTGAATTAAAAGAAACGCATATCGCTAATTAATTGAATTTTGTTGTTTGTTTTTTTAAATCAATTGTATGTGTACGATTGACTTTTGCAACAGAGTGCAGCAGATTAGCAGCAGATATTAAAATTTACATTTACGTAGCGTTACATTCGTATATTTGTTAAAAACAATTGGAAGCCTAATTTGTTAGGTGAGCGATCTTTCAATTTCAAAGCTCATAAGAACAATACATTTGCGTACGTAGGTAAACTAAGGTAAAGATAATTTCGCAAAAAATTATGCTTTTTCTGATATGGTAATTATTCGTGGTCGTGTTTTGTATGTTTATAATTGATTCTGCAAACTGTGAAGTGAATGTTCATAGCAACAATCCACGAGAGAAGTTCGCTTGTGTATGTGTGCGTGTATGTTTGCACACACAGGCTCCCGTAAATGTACTTAATTCGTAAGAAGATGTGATGTTACTTTTACATGAACTCGTAGACAGAATTGCTTAACTCATAAGGAAGCGTGCTTTTACTTTTTAAGACCGAGCTGTGTTATAATCCTCTCTTGAATTAATTGGGAATTGAAATCGATATCGTTTCAGTGAATTAAATACTCGCTCGATGCTATACCGAATAAAGATTAAATAAATGGAATTTATTACTGTGTGCTGTTAAAAAACATTTGATAAAAAAGGAAATTTATTTTAATATGAATTCTTGCTTTCACGTAAGAAGAATCTTTAATTTATTTCATGATTAGTATTTGTTACATTCTAAACACCCACAAAAAAAAAAGGAAAAGAAGCAAATAATCAGCTTTGCGTAAAATATTTATAACATTTAAATTCACTGAAATTTCAGTTCCGATTCCCGAGTCTTTGACCGATTATAAGCCATTATCGCGCGATTCGCTTTGTTGTGCCTAGTCGCTGCGCAGAAATCGCTACGAATTTGCGTGCGAGCGCGGCGAGCGTTTAACGTATTAATCCGGACACTCGTTAACTTCGTTTATTCCGTTGTGTCTATATACATCTATACATATATATATATATGTATATATATATATATATATAAATATATATACATATATTGTGATACATATTTATATATGTCGTACAAGTAAGTAGTACGTATTCCGCTTTGGTCGTAAGATTTGCGTTATAATCTAAAAAAGAGAAAGAGGCAAAGGAAAAGAGAGAGTGAGAGAGAGAGAAAGAGCGAAAGCAAAAAAGCCCGTAGCTTTATTGTAGAATCAATAGGTAGACGAAGACAGACAATGTTTGGACATTCGGATTCTGTAATGTGTAGATGATAAGATGTAGCTGTTATCCTTGTGTAGGTCTGTCTACCGAGAGACTTAGTCGCAGTGAAATGAATCAAATTTGTAAGCGCGTATTGTAGCGCGATTAATAATTTTCTACGATTCTAAAAATTCGGCGAGCGCGATGGAGAACGCATACATACGAGAGAGATCTTGCGTCACTCGGATTTTTGAATTGGTTTCGCGTTGCAGTTGAATTTTGATTAGCGCGAGATGTCAGCGGATACTGGTGTTTGAGAAAATAGTCAATTTATAGCAAAATCAAAGCGAAACGTTCACTGGGGAACAAATGAGTAAATTTAGAGAGAAAATAGACATCAGTCCTAGATATAACGTAGTAACATTTTTTTTTTATGGAAGCACGTTTCAGCATAGGAAATTTACATAATATTAAAACTGATGAAAACTCTGTTTAAATAACATTCAAAGTTTTCCTAAATAGATATATTTTCCTACATAGATATTTTTTGAATATACTCTCTCTTGAATATACATCTATCTTTCAATGCTATTTTTTATTTTAATTGAGGTATTAAATTATACACAATTAAATTATTAATTGAGGGCACTTTATTCACTTAGTACACAAAGTTATAGACGCACTATTAAGAACGAAAGAACCAATAAAAAAAAAATCAAAAGCTTTTTACGAAATATATGGGAGAAAAGATTGACATTGAAAGGCATCTCTCTTCGAATTTCCTAAGTGATTGAGAACAGGATGTAATAACAAAGTTAACATTTCTAATGAAAATTAAATTCCTTTTAACTCTATCTTTCTTACAGAAGTTTTATAAGATTGATCTACTTTTTTTTTTTAAAGATGGCAGCTTTCTTAAGCTTCTGTAGGGCAAACGAGACACGATCACTGACGAGATTGAAGATCGTCGTATGAAATTATCTAGCAGAATAAATTGCTGACGTTATCGTACTGAAAACGTAAAATCTTTCCCCGTACGTATGCGTGCTCGAGAGTGCTTGAGAGAGCATCATAGTAGCATCCAGTAGTAGCCGAAACACATCGTATTTTTGATTCGCGAGTGATGATAGGACTGAGCAACCGTGGCGACTTAGCCAGCCGCCACCGAACAAATTGCTCGTACTTACATACCGTAGTCATTCCCATTAAGCTCGAGTGCTTCTTGTTCCATTTAACGATTAGCAATGGCGGGATGGTGGGATCGCGTGTGCATCCCCCCGCGTGCCAAATGATACAGCACACAACACACTCGGATCCGAATAAAGTCGAGGGCACAAGTGGTCTCGATCCGAATTCCTATTCGGAATATTTGATATACGTCCGAGAGGCGAGACTGTTATTATTTTAATTCTTATCGCGTACCACATAAAAACTTATAATTGATATAAGATGGGGCTGCTGTATTTTTACACGGACTTTGTACAAATATAACAGGATTTCTCGCGGGGGAATCCCTCCGCTCCGGCGAGATATGTACATACCTGTATACCAATAAATACTAGACGAAATGTGAAGGAACGAAGAAGCTGCGACCGTGTTAAAAAATGAAAGAAAAAAGAAAACCGAGCACACGTATGTGTCGAAGCAATGGCAAATTTGCATTTATAGAAGCCTCTTGTTAAAAAGCGAAATAGAGAAAGGTCTTGGTTAATGGAAAATCGAAGGATTGGATTTTCACTAAAGAATTTTTTTCAAAACGTCATAAATTAAATATAATAAAATTGCTGGAATTATTATAATAAATCTTTGTAATTCTTGGTTTTTGCATTTATCATCGCACGGTCGTAAGCTTCACACTTTAGTAACATTCTTCCTTTATTTTTCTAACATAATTTTTTTAATGAATATATTTTTAGATTCTATATTAATAAAATTCGATCATTGGCCAAGACATTTAAAATATATAAATTTATACTTTTATTTTTTATTTAAGTATTTACATAAAATTATTGATTTTATTGATATACATTTTTTTATTTTTGTCTCATTTTTTTATATTCTCTCATTTTCTTTCATGTTTGCAATGTTTTTTCAGAGAATCCTATTAATGTCAAGTATATTGAATTTACATCTCTCAACACAATCTCTTATATTCATATCAATTATTTTTTTTCTTGCAATCTTGTTACTGTCTTTTAACTTCATGCTTGTTGCAGTTAATTGATTTATACTTTCATCGTACATAATTTCGGATTATTCCAAAATATCCATAACATAAATAACTCTGTTCTTTGTTACAGTTTCTCTTAATTCTTTTCCATTCTAAATTTTTGTAATTAATTATATTGCATAATTGTTTCTTATCTTATTGATGTACATTTTTATATTTAATATTGCATATTTAAAATTGAGATAATACATTTTATGAATTAAAACTATATAAATAAAATATAAACGCAAGCTTACTTTTTGCGTGTCATGCATCATCCTATTTTCTGACATTTTTTTTTGTTTTTTGACTAAATATCGTGCAAATGCATTGTTAATTACCTCATCTTTCGCTCTGTGTTCAGCTTTTTGTTGCTTCAAGTGTAGAAAGATTTATGACATTTTTATATATGTAAATCTCTAATATGTGATTATTTTAATAATATATGTATTCATGCAAAAGACAAACAATTCGAGCGTAATTTGAATTTAATATATCGTTAATTACAAATAACAAACAGTTGAAAAATTGTAAAATTTTTACTCTATGAGAAAAAAATTCAATTCAATGTAACTTAATAATTTATTTGCATTTAAATATTTAATGATTATCTTTACCATTTCTTGAAAAGATTCAGCAATGATGTATTGCTTCTTTGACATAGGATGATTATCTGATTCTTTTATCCATTTGCTCTTCTGCTTTTTCAGGTATAATTTATCATTAATTCCCTTAATTCTTTCTTTGCATACGTTAGCCAGCAACATTCTAGCAACATTATCTATCGCCATTTCTTTCGCTGCGCGAAATTCCGCCTATATAAAGAAAAGTGAACGCTAATGAAATTTTTATTTTGTAACAAGTTACTCTTTAAAAGTAGATACTAGTACTAAGCGTACGATTTTCAATATAAATATAATTAAACAAATAGAGCACCGTGACGAATTTTTATATTATTTTTAAAAGTAACTTTCTTAATTCTGATCTTCAGAAAGCTGAATTTTACCTTCATACCGAGCTGTTTCTCTTGTCGAGTTTCTTTTTCTGCGACTATACGAGCTATCGTCTTGTTTTCATTTTTCAATACTTCCTTATACTTCTTTTCCCACACATCTTTAGCCGCCAAAGACGCAGTTATCTCTTCTCTTAGAAGAATCACTTTATTTTCCTTTTTTTCTTCATCTTCGCGTTTTCTTCTTGAGTCTTCCGCATTGCTCGTTCTATCTTGCAATTCTGCTCCTTTTCCTCAATTCTTTTCTGTTGAAGTCGTCGGGGATTGTCCATCGAGTGATCCTGCTGATTAACAAGATTCCGTTTTCTTTCTTCATCTTCGGCACGTTGTACTTTTTTAATGCTTTTGTCTTGATGGCAAGATTCTAGTAGATCCGCCTGACTCGCTTCCTTTTCCTCTACCACACGCGATCGAGCTTCGTTTAGGTTACAATTCGATGGTGATTGTGTAGAAGATTTTAGTCGATCTTTTAACGCATGTTTTACCTCTTCATCTATTATTCGCAAAGAAATTGGTTATTGCTAAAATAGAATATTGCTAAAATAAAAATCCCCACAAAGTGCGATGTAACTCAAAAGGAAAAAAATATGTGCATATATTATAAATTATATGAAATAATTCTAGACGAGGTTGAGAATGCAACTTGTAAATTTTACTTTATTTACTTTTATATCGCGATAATTCGGCAGCCAGTCTGTGTGTCACTTCAGTCTCTTTTCGTTTAGCTTCAACAGCTGCCTGAGTACGTGACTGTTTCTCCACCAAAATAGGTTCTCGTTGTTCATGCAAAATAGGATGATGTAACGTGATTTTGCCGTCGCATCGTTTTATCTTGAAGACTGGTTTCGTCACCAATTCGGCTTCCCTCTCGTTCTTCTTCCTCCTGTCATTCCCGTCGATATTGACGTCTACCAAGTACCATCCTCTGCGAATTTTCACCATTTTTACATTTTGCGAAACGCAATTTCTTTCCGTGCGCTTTGCGGATGATCAATCAATTTCCTACAATTTAAGATTAAGATACTTTCAATTAACGATATTATGGAAATAAGCGACAGAAAAATTGATAATTGGTTGGATGCGAAATATACTTCTTGAAGTTTATGCGTATTTATCTTGTTTTCTAATTGAAACTTGCATATTTTATTTTACTAAAACATTATCGAGCGCGCGCTTTGCGAGCGCCTTTATGTTTTTTTATTTATTTTCATTAATTTTGTAAATTCGTGTATTTTTATGCGTGGAATATATTCTGAGAAGGAAAATCGTCGCGCAAATATACATTTTTCTATAATTTCAAAGTTTTTCGATATTTAAATTTCAATCTATCGCAAAAACATGATCCGAGTTGGTAAGATTACTTTTAACAATTATATTATTGCACAATATGACAGTTTATTGAATTGAATAAAATATTGAATGAATTTTTTTAATATTAATACTTTTTTGTTATTTATATTCTTAAAATTTAGTTTTTTTCCTTATTATTCTTTGTTTTTTAGCTTTTTAGCTTTTTTAAATTTAAGTTACATATAGTTTATATTTTATGTATAAATGTTTAAGTTTGATGAAAATTGTTTTGATATTGAATGTAAATTAAATATGTTTTGTTTAACATAAAAAGATAAAAATGTAGCATAACGTTCTCTCATTCGATTTTCTTATAATTTTATAAATTTATATATTTTCATGTGTAGAATATATTCTGAGAAGGAAAATCGTCTCTTAAATCCTGTTTTCTTTTTTTTTAATTTTAATTTTTTGATATTTGAACTTCAATCCACATAAAAAGAATGAAAAAGGTATAAATTTTTAAACTATTCTCTGTTATAATTTAAATTGTATAAAAATGCTTTTGTATTTTTAATTAATTAAAGCAGAGAATATGATATGAAATATGTAGCCATAAATTGTCATTAAATTATCATTTTTTAACTTATCAATGTAAAAAAAAAATTCTGGAAAATAAAATCTGGTGCGACGATTTTCCTTTTCAAAATATATATTCTACGCATGAAAATATACAAATTTATAAAATTATAAAAAAAATTGGAAGAGAGAGCGTTATATTACACACTTACCCATAAAAATATTCCTTTCCCGTTAAAAATTTATTTTATTGAATATTATTAATTTTCATGATATCAATTCATGATATTATCATTAGATTATTGATGGATTTTTATTTCTGATTGTCAGATGGCGCCAGTTAAGAGAGAGAGAGAGAGAGAGAGAAAGAGACACGGTACCGGAACCGTGTTTCACATACGGCGGCGGTGGACGCCAGGTTGCAAATTTTGTTTTTTCGATAATCGTTAATAAACCGTCAACACGTCTTTCCAATTTGCGCCTTTTGGGTACGTATATCATTTGCGTGAGTGATAAAACTGTACTAATGTCGCGCGTGTGTTGAGAATGCTCCGATGACATCCGAATGTGTGTTGTCCGTTTGTTAGGTTATCCGGGAGCGTCATATCGATTTCTGTTCTGCTCCATTCATGAACTCTTTAGATATTATTTTGTATAAATAAATGTCAAGAATAAACGCTCGCTATTTATCGTAAATATGTAAACGCGCATACTTATAAATTATTTAGATTCAAAATTGAAGTGTAATACAGTTTATATTATATGCAAAGGTGGATATGGTAGGTTAATTAATTCAATTATATCTATTTTTACCAGTGTAGTTAATTTGGATTTAATCTATTCTTTATTTTTTTAATTATTAAAAATAAAAAAAGTAAATTAAATCGAAATTAAAGTTAATCTATATTAGCAGAAATGAACATTAAACTATCAGATTAAGCTGTTAGATATTAGAGGATGTTCATTTTTTATTAAAGGAAGATGTTCATTTTTCATTAAAATTTGACCCTTGGCATTTTCGATAATGAACTTTGGAGTGGTACTTGCACCAAAAATATTGAGTTCGAACTCTGATATTCGTATTTTACTAGGCCACACCTTTCCAACGATATATAGTTTATCATGCAACACCAAGGGTCAAAATGAACATTCTTCTGTAGAAACATGAGTGGGTATCTGATCTTTATTTAATTCTAAAAAAAAATTTTTAATAATTTTTATTAAAGTTTATTTGTAATTGACTGAGGCAAATTTATTAAATATTATATTCTATCATAGAAAATAGAAAATATTATATTGAGATAAAGAACAAGAAAATTAATAATGCAAGTATAATTGTATACATATTATATCTTGTAAAATAGGATTTATTTGAAATTTATATATGAAGTACACACACATGTACGCGCGCCCCACACACACACACACATACATACACACATACACACAAACACACAAAATGTACATATATATAAAATTATTGTTAATAAAATAATTGGTTGCAGAAATAATATGGTCCGAGGTCGAGGAATGATCAGAGGCGGTCGAGGAGGTATGGGACGTGGTATGGGTTTTCCACGAAAACAATTTTTACCGCGACACCCATTTGATTACACGTTATGTGAGGCTGCTTTCCCACGTGTTAAACCTGTACCAGATGAATCAGATTTTCAGTCAGCTCTTGTAAAGAAGAATGCTGATATGTGTCCAACGGCAAAGGAGCAAACTTCCATCTTAAATCTTGTAACGAAATTACAGACTGTTCTTGATAATTTGATTGTTGCACCGGGAACTTTTGAAGCTTGTGTAAATATCGATATACAATTGCGAATTGAATTTTAGTCGCAATATATATGATCTCTGTTTACTTTCTTTGTTCTTTATTACATTATTTCTTCTTTTAATGTAGCAATTGGAAGAAGTGAGACAAGTTGGCAGTTTTAAGAAAGGTACAATGATAAAGGGTCACAACGTCGCTGATATCGTGGTTATTCTCAAAACTTTACCAACAAAAACAGCGGTGGAGGCTCTCGGGAACAAAGTCAATAATGATTTGAAGGCCGTGAACCCGAAAGAGATCTTTAGAGTTATACAAACAGAGCGCGGATTCGATATCGCTAATAACGAAGCCACTGTGCGTATACTAATAACTACGTTGCATCAAAATTTACGTAAACTGGAATCGGAACAACACTTGGACGTTAAAATTTGTCAAGGTAATTTTCGTGTTTTATAGCTAACCAAATATATATCTTAATAATTATCACTGGAAATGATTTCTTTCTTGACAGGACATCTCGCTGCTATCAGACATTCACGTTGGTTCGAAGAAAACGCTCACCATTCTAGCATCAAAGTTCTAATTCGACTACTTCGTGATCTTAGAAGTAGATTTGAAGGTCTGGAGCCACTATCTCCGTGGATGCTGGATTTATTGGCACATAATGCTATAATGAACAATCCTAGCAGGCAAGCGTTACCGATAAATCAGGCGTACAAGAGAGTGCTGCAATTGCTTGCATCTGGATTGTTTCTTCCAGGATCAGCAGGTACTTGGATTCAAAATTAAACGTTTGTCAAAAATTGCCACATAAATTATAATATTAATATTTATAATTTTTTTAGGTATTTCTGATCCATGCGAAGGTGGCAATATACGTGTCCACACAGCGTTAACGCTTGAGCAACAAGATCTCGTATGTCTCACTGCTCAAACGTTATTGCGTGTGCTAGCTCATGGTGGATATAGACCATTGCTGGAAGGTTCCAATAAACTCGCGGTAGAGATGAGTGTATGGGCGGGAGGTGTAGTGGCAAGTCCGTTAGAGAAGGCATATGAGCCACCAACAGAGCAGGAGCAGCAGGAAGACATGGATGAAAGCAATGAGGAGATGATTACCGAAAGTGTTTAAGATTTGAGTCAAAATAGGAACATTTTGTAAGTTCCTTCTTTTGTATAAGATAGGACAATATTTTTAGTTTCTGGTCGACATTTCTTATATAAAAAGTATTGTATTTATAACATATTTGCACACATATACATTTTGATGATAAACGACTTAATGGATTAACATTATACTTTTATATGTTGCTATTCGCATCCTAGACAATTCGACGATGAAACTGAAAAATATGTTTACAAAAATTGTGAGATTTGATTTAAAATAAAATATAGATTAATTAATGTGCAATCTAACCGATTAAATAACTTATTCTACTTCTAAATTTCTTCTGCATGCGTAATATTTTAAGCATCTACATTTTCAACAACAATCACATAAACGCTGCGGAGAGATTTGATCTCTGAAGATTAATCTTATCCAAAGTTCTTTTTATTGAAAAATGTACTGGATTTTCTTAAATTCTATATTGCAATGATACCGTAAATTTCTTGTGAGATCATCTTTTTTTTATATTTTTTGAATATTTTACGCAACATATTGTCTCAATGCTGCATACATTAGGCCTCATAATATATAAAATTATATAAAGTGTATTTGCAATTTGGCAGTGATGTGCACAAAAAATATCATTAAAAACTATGAATTCATTTCAGTCTGATGAAAATGATAGATATGAATCTCAAGCAGTTTTTGTATTGTATGTATCAATTAGTTAATAAGTCAAAATAACAGTTTATTTCTAAAAAAAAGTCCATTTTTAGATACCTATGAGAAACAAGAATGATGAAAAATAATTGCAACTATGAACGTATTTAATCATTCTTTATGAAAAATTCTATTTTCTTTACGAAGAAAGTATTTTGGACAAATTATATGTACATATGAATGTGTCAGTTTATTGTTCCCTAAACGGATTATATAATTTATACTCTTTTACTCATAACTTTTAATTCTCCAATCAATTTTTTTAAATCGAGGCATACACGTGGAATAAACCCACCAATTGCGAGTCGATCATTCTTGCTGTTGGATGTATCGTCTCACTTATGTGTACAATAAAGTTTACAGAGTAGAAACCATCAGTCTTCGTTTAGAATCTAATGTAGACAAGGATCGTTTTCTGGGGTTCTCGCGATTCGCGCACAATTAACTGTGCGCGAACTGGTACCCGGCCGGACCGGCACCTTGAAAAGCTTGCCCTGCGGCATGCATACGCAGACCTTGTACTGTTCGTGACTCACGGTTGGATTCTGCAAGAACATCGGCGCTATCGGGATGTTTTCCACATCGATGGAGACACCGTCTTTGGCATCCAACACGACGCTGCCGTTCACGCTTTTCAAGAAGATGTCACGATCGGCGCTCCACACGATGTCTTTGCTCTCCATACGCACGCCCTCCGCACCGTGTAACGAAACTTGATTGTCGGAGTTGATTGATAGGCTGTCATTAACCGGCGACGTAATCCGATGAGTCTCCGCGATTCTCACCTCGATTTTCTTGACGCCACTTGGCAGGCCAAAGTTCGGGAAGTCCGTGGTGAAGTACGTCACACCGGTACGTGGATCTTTCACCTCGAAGGACTCCACTTGTGACATGGTAGTACCGTTCGGCAAGACACCTAATTTGGAGTATGGATGCGTATCGTAGGTGCGTCCGCGACTCTTCACGTCGACGTGCACCCCGGCCTCGTCGCCGGATATCTCCATCGGCTCGTCGCCGTAACTCTGACAGACGCCTGACTGCAGAGATATCTTCAGAAAATGTAAAGGAACATGACGTAATATTAATAATTGTGAAGAGATATCGAGTATCTTAAGATCACATTAGATTTTTACTATTTTGTAGTTCTTTCTATATTCCTATTTCCACGTATTATTCATTTATAAATGTTGCATATATAAATACACATACCTTGTCTAAATCAGTTCTTCCATAGAATTTGACAAGATTTTCGTCTGGGATTACTTCCATAGCTTCCATTCCCTGGCTTATTCGCAAAACAGCAATGACAGTGATGTTGAGGAAAAGATTACAAAGGCCGATTATCGCCAGAACCAGAGTCAATGTCCAGAGACAGTAACGTCTTTTCGTGGATTTCTCGCCCGTCGACATGCCGTATGACGAGCCGATTGTTCTATTAATGTCATCCAAACAGAAGATTAATTATCTGTTTCGAGATCGTTTTAATTTAATCTATTTAAGATTGCTAATAAATAAATTTAATTTAGTCATTAATAAACTATCTCTTCAGAAATATTTGAAATATTTGAACTGAATAAGAGTTATTATTAACAATCTATAAATGTATAATACATGATTGGCTTTTTCACCTGGCATGCATGCTACCGCAGCTATTTTGGCGAATAAGGCCTTTAATCAGGGGCCCGTCACTGTTGGACAAATTATCGTCGGCCTTCGATATTGATGGTGAACCGGTGTCATTTCCGCAAACATCTAGAAGAGCCGACATCGGATGTCCTTTTGTATCCGTCTATCTGTCGGAGGTTGTAGAATAGTGAAAGTGGTAAAATAAATAAAAAGATAAAAGTTATAAAAGTAAGATTGTAAGGATTGAAAGATAGATATAGAGGAGTAGATTTATTTTACATTTACTTGATAAAAATATTAGTTCTGTTGTGTATCAAGATATCAAATCAAAATTTTTTTACTTCTCGTTCTTTTGAGGGTTTCAGAAAGAAGAAAATGTAAAATCTTCAAGTCAAAAAATAATTACATCTCAAAAGTGGTGTATATTTGCGAGACGAAATTTGATTTTATCGATTTGTATCGTTACAATACACTATATAATATACATAGACACAATATACCGGTGTAGATAATTCACGCTGCGTGACTCGTACGTACCTTGTATCTTTGGCATTGCGCGACAATTTTAATTAAAATTATAAATTATCAATTTCGCGTTTCGCTATTAGAGATGACACTTATTCTCTAGAAATAGTCCTTCGCGAGGTATCGCATCCAACGCACGAACTCTTCTATGCATCGAACGCGTCTGTTCTGCCGCGAGACGTGTGGTCGTTTCGCGAGCGGTTTCCTTACCTCAGCTGGCGTCTAGAAGCGTCACGAGAGGTGGCCGTATCTTCAGATAAACGAAAATAGACGACCGCGTTACCCTTCGGACTTTCGCGGATTCTCCGACGACCGGGAGCGATGGGAAGTAGGTGAAGTTACACCGGTCGGCGCTTGCGCGTCCAGGAATCAATGCCGAGGGTCCTCAGGAATTCTGCTTACTCGCGCGCATCCACCTCGCGGAGTTTCTATATTTTCGGCGCTTCTTTTTATTTTGCTGCCAGAGAAATGGAGCCAAGAGTCAAGATCACCAAGATCAATTCATTCAATTTTCCGATATTTTTACCCCGGAGGTGAATAAAAAATGAATGACGCAGAAGAAAAGACGATGCGGCGATGTAGTCGTTAATATTTAATAATTTCGAAATAATTAGAAGAATAAATTACCATGACGCCACTTGATGGAATTCATAAGCTCATAACTCTTCGAGTGATTGCGTCATTTCTTCCTCTGCGTCAACTGTTTCTCACTGATTTTCACGCACAACAAAATTGATGAGCTAATCATTTATATCATAGAATAAGCTTTTATGGTTTTACTCGCGACTTTCGATTTTGCATTATTAAAAAAAAGCGCAAATGCATAAATATGTAACGATAAAGTAACGATTACATTTATTGCTATCATAAACTATTGCTATATTATCATTGTTAATAAAAAAAAAAGTTACGAATTGTTTATTTTAAAAAAAGTGACTATAAAAATAACGGCATTATAACACGTTACTTCACAATTCTATACGTTATTAAGATATGTAGTTATACGTGGTTAAAATTTTAATGGAAACTTGTTCTAGAAAATGAGTAAATTATTGCATTAAAATATAAAAAAAGAAATATATTTAATGCTTAAGAAAATGGATACATTTAAATTAATGAAGTATTCGTGTTAAAAGTATTCTGGCCATGCAGTTCTCTCAATCCAGTCGATGTAATGGTAGACTCGAGTGTAGACGCCAGGTATGGTGCTGCCGCAGTATCGTCCGAAACTGGTGACTCCGATAATGGTGTACATGCAGTTGTGATCGGTGTTAAAGACAGCAAGTGGCCCTCCACTGTCACCCTTGAATACGTAACGAGCACATTCGATAATTTATTTGTAATTTCTTTATAATTGTTTATCGTTTACAAAAATAATATCATTGTTTCTTCTTTTCAATCGAAGCTAATCCATTGACTTGGCTATCTTTTCAGAAAGATAAATTGTCCCCAAATCGAATGCAAGTAATAATACAAGATATGGAATACAAGATTTCAATTTGAATGGAGAAGAAATGAATCTATAGAAAGGATAAAAGCTTTTTCCATGCGAATATAATGTGTTACCTGACAAGTATCTTTCCCGGCTTCTCCCGCACATATTTGCCAGTCGTCGACAATGCCTAATGCGAGCTCTCCGGTAGAACCACCGTCGAAGAAACTATTATTGCAAACTTTATGAGAAACTAAAGAGAGCGTCACCTTTAATAAATTGTCCGAGCCTTTGTCTTCATCTGGAAAATCAAGCAAAAATCAAACATTATGTTCATATCATGCTTTTGTATTTTGGTACAATTTTACAATTAATTGGAGATACATTGGTTAATTATGTTGGTATTAAAAACTATTGGGTCAATATAAAACCACAATATAAAACCAATATATTGGCTATAAATTAAATACAAATGCAAATATTAAATGATCGTACGTAAGGCATCTGTTTTACAAGTACCAATGTTGGGAACGAATTTGTAATCAATATTGCTCCAATAATTTATGTTAATAGAATACACGCATAAAATACATCTTTCTCTCAATTAGGTCACGTATTTTTAGTTTTAATTATATATATTTAGTTTTAATTATATATATTAGTTTAATTATATATATATATATATATATATATATAATTAAATTTTGTATATATATATATATATATAATCATTTATATAAATTAAATATACATATATAACTAGATTATATATACATATATTTATATTACATACATTTGCACATATACAGATTTCTAATTGATCTTAATTCTTTTTAGAAGATATAGATTCTAGAAATTTCTCTCTTTATAATCTTACCCCAGTCGACCAAACCCCATCCGGTGGCGACTGCCTTATCATTGTTCCCCACATCAGGCGAATCAACCGGAAGACACGCTGGTCTGACCCATGCGTCAAAGGTAGCTTCCTTTTCCAGACGTAAAATAGCTATGTCGTGATATTCCGACGGTCGTTTGTATTCGGGATGCCTTATCCTTTCCTTGATTGCAATAGTTTGTGGCTTTGCGTTATCATTTGTCTGCGCGAGATTTAGATCACCGAGGCGTACCCACTTAGCGCTTCCCCTTTTCGAATTAAACAAGATTTATTAAAATTATTATCTATTAACATGAAGTATGTTTATAGTTTATAGTTATGTCGAAGTATATTTATAGTTAATAACGAGCAAAATAAATAATTTATTTGAACTTTTAACAATATAATTAAATATAATTAAGATTTTTTTATAAAATTTCGATGACTCAGTTTTTTTTTTATTAATATTGAATATTTTAATTACAATTGAAATTGAGTCTTTTCAAGAAATATCTTATTTAATCTTATACTGAAAATTTAGTATTTTTTGCTCTTTATTTCAAAATCATTTCTAACAAAAAAATATATAAAAGCATCTTGACATTTTTGATCGGAGAAAAGATGGATTTCTAATCGATCGAAAATGTATGGTTAAAAAGACAAGGAAGCTATTGTTTAGATTTTAGAGTAATGAAAGTACAGTCTTAATCTTGTATAGCATAGTACTTCCAAATTCGAGGTATTTTTTTTTTTCAATTGAAAAAAGATACCTCTAATTTAGAAGTACTATGCAATACAAGATTAAGAGCGTAGTTTTGATCACTGAATCAACATTCCAAGCGCCGGATAGACAAATAACGAAGAAAACTGGAACTGTCGAAATTTACCAGTCTGATGACCAAGTGCAGTGGGCCGCTGTCAGGACGACTTTGGAAGAAATTAAGCTACCACCACAATTCCACAGGATCGTATTACCAGACTCGAAACCGATGGCCGCCATGTGCGGAAATTCTTTCCCTTCGGCCTTCTTGCCACCGACGATCAATTTGCGCGTGGTTAGAGCGCATAGCGAGGTGTTTACAGGTGTTCGGTCCAATGTCGGTGTAGGTGGTATCTGGAAACCATAGACAGCCTCCGCGTTTTCCGCGCATTCTAAGAAGAAAACAAGACAACAATTTCAGTGGAACTCAAGATCGGATCCCGATTCGTTGATTCTGGTCTTTGACGTATCACGATTTCTTATCTTGCCTTTCGAGATTTCTCATTAACACGAGCCATATTTCGATCTAAATATTTACGCTGTAATTTTCCAGAACTGTTTGCGCGTGAAATTGATATTTATTATTATTTTAACATTAAGAAAAATAGAAAAAAAAAAGATTTTTCTTACGTGCAAGTTCGCGCGTAAAAAATACCTATATTGCCGATTTAGCACTGATAAGCTGCTAATAGCTCATCATCGCTGGAAGATGTGCATTTAAGAGACATGTTTTTACATGATGTGCATTTTAAGAGACATGTTCTTATGTAAAACGCTTCAAAGAGATATCAATGAGAGAGATATAATAGTTACATGCAAATTTTGATAAATATTAAATGTTGCTTCAGCATTTCTCGTCTTTTATCAAAGAACAAATGAAGAAGGATTTTCTATTTACTTGCTCGTGCTAGAGATCCTACTCTTCCATCCAATTTCAAAGGTCGCACTGAGCCTGTTTGTGGCGTCGGCGTCGGCGTCGGCGTCGGCGTCGGCGTTGGTCTAGAATCAACCGAATTTGATGTTGGGCAGCATACTATTGGGTCAAAACCTGAATATCCACAGATCTCTTTAGGCGTTTTGCCGGCCAATAGATCCCTATAAACTTTATCGCAGCTTCGTAAAAGCTTGCATACACCTGGGACATTATCGGCTGTACATGATTCTGAAAATTACAGAAGATGAACAATATATTATGAGTTTTTTTTTATTAACAATGGAATTAAATTACAATGAAAATATTTTTGTTTTTTATTATCATCAAAATAATTATGTAGGATAATAATTTAGATTTTTGTAACATTGCAAAAATCCTTTCATTATACAAATCAAAATTATTATAACTTAATGATAATTTTGATTTTTAAATATGCAAAATTTTTTTGTATTTTAGCAATTAATTTGAACATTCTGCATTATTTTGATAATGCCCCATAATCAATAAAATTATTTTTAAATTTAGTTAAACTTTTATATATAGATACTTTAGGAAAACTTTTCCTGTAATTGAAATTTTTCTCGATTGAATCTATGGTAGTAAAACTAAGGAATATAAAAATTTCAATACAATTTCAAATTTAATGACTTTTTAGCTTTAAAATATTTAGAGAGCAAATTAGAATACTTAAAGTTTCAATAATTACTTACTCAATACATTATTGTTTAAATTTATTAAAATTTTCATTTTAGATGTAATTTAAACTTTTATTTCTTGGCACAAATCTTTTTTCAAATAGTCTAGAAAAAAATAGAAAAAAAGATGTAACATATATTTATCTAGAAATTATCTAAATTTCAAAAGAAATATTAAGATAATTAACTAATTTTACGACTATTTTACAACATTGATACGTGTTTCTGCTACACGAATTAAAAAATGCGTATTTTTTTCCTTTTATTTTTAATGACAAAAATATTCTTACAATCCTCGCGGTTGTCATTAAATCATTGTCTGTCTGAGTATCAATTTGCATGACAGTATATATTACTAAGTGTAAAAATAATCGTTGATGCCTGAGACGTCATTAAATGATCCTCAATCAAAATTAAAAGCAGAGAATTATGACAAAAAGATAAAATAATATATTCAAAATTATAATCCTTATCATACAAATACATACAACAATTATATAATTATTTTTAATCACAGATTTACATACTACAGATTTACTAATCGCATTTATTTTATGCAGCATGCGATTTTCAAGCGACCTTCCCATTTCCCAAGGAACGAGTTTGACGCGTTCGTTCCGAACGAGAATTCGAGTATTTTTAATACGAGAAGAAGCAACACTCACCTCCGACGTCCTTTCGACCGTGCGTCGACGACAGGATCGACACCAACACTAGTAGTAATAACGAGGAGCCGATCGGTATTCTCGCCAGCATTCTTGCTACACGTAGCCTTGATCACGCGGTCCTCTCTGGTCTGATCTCGAAGACGCGTTCGCGATAGAAGATATACCTCGTCTAACGCGTCTGTCCGTCTCTACTCATTTCCGTTTTTCCCCACCCGGTCACTCGTGCGAGTCCTGGTGGTGGTGATGAACCGCGAGGTCATTCTCGTCATGCATTTCGCGATAAATCCGCCGATCCGAACGACGCGATTCCCATTCCGAGCGCCGTGTCTTCGAGGAAGATCTCACGTTGCGCGGAGCGCAATTTAACCGTCGAATCATTTAATCGGGACGATCAGCTGTCAAGCGCGCCGCAAGCGATCTATAACAGGAATCGAAATCATTGTCTGGTTCTTTCTGTGCAATTTCGATTTCTAAGGCGAACGCAATTTCAATTCTCTTACGGAAATTATCCTGCATTGTGATTGTCAGGAGGAATAGAATATCAAAGAGTTATTTCTAGGAATTTAATTTTCTATAACGCCAAATAAATTTGAAATTACACATTTATATATTTATTTTTAAATCTTTTTACTATAATTTAGCATAAAGTTCTACTGTTATATTAATTTTTAGTAAGCAAGTGATTTGGCTTTATAAAAAAGATATCAGGAGAAAGAGAGAAAAAGAGAGAGAAAGAAAATTTGATTTTTATAATAAAATATTAAAAAATTGGAAATTAATCATTAATTTTTATTTCAAGATCAATGTTTATTAAATACACTTTATGTAAATTTGTTTTCAAATATGATAAAAAATTTTTATAATAGATTAACGGGATTGTATTAATGAAATTTTTTACTCATAGTGAATAATGTTATATTATATTTGTGTATATTTGTATAGAATTAACCGAGTAGAAATTAATCTAAAAAAATAGATTAGAAAAAATAGATAAGAATAAATAGAAAACCAATCTGATTTAAGACTTAATTAAACGATGAAATTTGAAAAACGTTATATAAAAAAATTATAATATGTTTCTTCAAACTTTCAATTTTAAAAATTAATATTTATGAAACAAATAATCAATGTAATAGGAGATAAGTTTTAAATAATAGAATAATAGATGGTATTTTTCGATGGATACAATAATTATTTTAGTTATCTTATTTTTAATTAAATTTATATCTATAATTTTAATTAAAATTAATAAATACTTAAGCTAATAGATGGCATTGCTGGCAGCGGACAGCATCTTAGGTATTTTTAATTGAATTTATATCTATAATTAAAAATTATAAGACACATAAGATTTATCTGCAGAGCAATGTCATCTATTATTCTATTGTTTTAGTATTTATCAATTTTTATTAATATTTCTTATAATTATGTAAAAAATTATCGTTTTGCTTGGTTTCATAAATTATAATTGGTAGTTCAGCCAAAAAAAATATGTTTTACTTCCGTAAACATTTAACATGCTAATATAATTTTCACTTAATAGTTTTATGTATATTTTGTATTTTATAAACAAATTTTTATTTTTGCCTTAAAAATTCTAAATTCTTAATATCATAAATATGTTATTTATTCTATTAATTATACTAATCTGTTTCGATTTTGATGCTTCTATCTTATATTGCATATTTTTTCGTGTATCATCTTTTATCTTATATGCAATTGCGATAAAATGAAAAACTGCACATACGTATAAAATAAGGAAAACAGACAAGATTTTTATTTCTCGTTATAATGCATTAATAATAGATCGATATTAAAATCTTGGAATTGCGTCTGCATTAATCATTACATACAGCATTCTCTTGTTACATTGCATCATTTTTTTAGCATTTTTTTTATCATCAATGGGAAAAACACGTTTAACATGCTTTCACGAGGAGATCTTGATGCAAAGATAACAGAACGGTTTGATCTACTTTCAAGCAACAGGAATAAAATGCCTTAATCGCAATATAAAAATAGGATGTAAATTCTTTGAGCGATAATATCTTGTAATATCTTTCGTTGATGTAATATCTTTCGAGCGATTTTTTTCTAGATTATTATTAATAACTTGTTCCTCTCACGATATCATTATTTCGTACATGGATTGCAATATTACTAAGCTATTAGAGACTTGATGATGATTATACATTTTCCGACACGTCAGATGCCGAACTTAATACATGAAACAAATCCGATTCGATCCATCACGATCGACATCACGTAGCTGTCAAAGGCCCGATAGGTTTGATAAGACCAGTTTCATTAAGAGCAAACCACGTATGCGTATTCAGGGATGTAGCATTTGCCTCTGAATATTATTTCCAAGTTGAAACAATGATAGAGAGATTAATAGTTAAATGTTCTGCTTAAAATTAATGTTCTCGTGGAAAATACGAGCTCGAATGAAAGAGAAATATTTTTACGAATAAATTAAACCAACTCACGTGCAAAATTTATATTATACACGTGTTCTAAAAAGATATGTAATGAAATAGATTTTACGTGGGAAAAGATGTACAAATGTGTAAAGCGTGTGCTACAGTAATATTAATGAAGCGATTCTTGAATTAATCAAATAGGATTTATAAGCGTGCTCTCTTTGATTAATTTGCAGTAGATTTTTCTCAGCAAAATTCTTAGAAATTACAAAAAGATAAGTAACAAAACTTTATATTCTAGTTATAATTGCTGTTTCTTTTTTTTTCATTTTAAAAAAAGATCGTTTTCAAATTTACATATATTCAAAAATTTATAAATATATCTTTTAATATATTTTCGTTTAATCTAAAATTATAATAATTTTATAATAATATTAAATTATAATATTTATAAAAAAGTTATAATATTTATAATCATAAAATTATATAATAATATTAAATTAATGCTAAAAGAAATTATTTTTCACGCCGTATGGCGTGGGGAAATGATACGTTGATTAAACATAGAACGAGAACGTGACGTAATTTTCTTAACAAGTATTCGTTATTAAGGTACAGTACCTATTTACAGGAAACAAACGCAAATATTTTAAGAAACAACGAGGAAGAGTCGAGCGAATACGTCATTGCTTGTAGCTTACGCTATTATTATGTTAATGACATCTCGACTCATGAATCGCCGATCGTTAATAAACGACCTCATTATCGATATCATTATCGCGCAAGCTGCATGCACCTCGTTACGCATTGGCCGGCGTACTTAAGACAAGAATTCGCTATTAAAGCCTTCGTACGAATAAGATGCCGATACGCCGCGCGTATTGAATTTGCAATATGCCTAGAAAACTTACGATCGCATTATTCATCGCAATCTTGTTCGGGAATTCCGCAGCGCGAAAAAGTGAAGAAAGTTAGTGATAGCCTGTTTGTTTCGTTACATTCGCGATTGATTTCCAAGAAATCATTTATCTCGAATATACGCAACACAAATCTCGATTTTAATGTAATCCTTTGCCAAATTTAGACGTTTGTAAACAGGAGTTGAATAAGACGTCATCACGACAGTTTAATTTTTTGGTGTTAAATGTTGCAACAGATAAATTAGAAAGACATCTGTTCAAATCAAAATCTAGTGACTAAAAAAAGTTAGGTCAATGTTTGATTGGAAATTTATAATTATTTAATTATATTTTATTATATTTTTTTTACATTTTTTATATTACAACGATGTTTTGTTATTTTATCTTAAACTTAAATTAATCTAACTTAAATTATATCTAAGTTAGATATTTTTCGTTAGATATTATGTGGAATTCAATCTTGTAAAATCTTTGTTGCAAAATCGTTGTTGTTGCTTCTAATTTGTGTCTCGAATAATTGTTATTATACAATATTTACGTTATAAGCTTTGATATTCCGAGATATATAACATTTATTGAGAATCAATATCATGAGCTGTAATAAATGTAATAAAAGCAGCTTTTTTAAAAATTTTTTTGATTATATGATTATATTTTTGATATATGCTTATCATTGCTTTAAGAAGTAAGCTTTAAAAAACAACATGTTTATATCAACATACAAATTGATGCGCATTTAAGAGTTAAGTGATTAAGTATTTATAACGTAGGATGATAAATCGTTAAACTACGCATTTTGAAAGGCGCGTGCAAATGAGTAATAAAATAACATTCCCATTCAGTTTCTTACATTATAATTGCACTATAAATTTTATCGATTGCGCGTAGATTCCCAGATTTGTTCCGCTTTCCGCTATGATTCTGATTTGCATAATTCCCGCTTTTTCGCAGAATGCAAGGAATACGCCGATTTGGTTTACGAGATCGAAGATTCGCCGACATTGCGTATCAATGCTGGCGCGAATAAAGTTTCTCGCTGTGCAATCGTCGAGACACCTCTAATCATCGGCGGAGTTCAAGCGAAGCACGCGGAATTTCCACATATGGTGAGAATTATCGCTGTGATCGCAGAAATGATTAAAACAACTACTGCATAACATATCACTGGTATAATAAACACATTGTAAAAAATTGAGATAAAGATCACATTAATTCTCGATTACTGAATGGTGAAAAGGTGATCAATCATTTCAATATTTTCTTATAATTATTATATAAATAATGATATAAAATATATATTTATATAAATGCTACTTATAGTATGCAAAAATATGAAAATAAATATATATAAAATATATATTTTTATATAAGGAATTTGTGTTTTTATATTTTTTATGGAGAAATGGAGAATAATAATTTTAAATGCTTAATTTTATTTTTTTTAATTAAATAATAATTTAAGTTTAATAATTTAGTTTAATAATTTTATTTTTTAATGTAACATATGCAGCACGCAATAGTGTTCGTTTTTATGTGTTTTCCAAAATGCGTGCGCCAGTTGGAAAATATGAAAAATGTAATAGATTTCCATGTATTGTTTTAATAATCGAAGTAACAAAAAACATCAATATTTCCACACTGTAGGCGGTGATCGGTTTTGGCAAGACTGACGTGTCCTGGCAGTGTGGAGGAAGCATCATCTCCGAGAATTTTATCCTGACCGCGGCGCATTGTATGGAATCCCCGGACAAGTAACAATCTTGTTACTATTATTCTTTCATTATATTTATATCATTCTTATGTTACATTGAAACAAAAACATTCACTAACATCATCAATACATTTCAGTGGTCCCGCAAGCAAAGTGCGTGTCGGTTTGATTAATCTGATAACTCCGGACGATTCCATGCAGGAGAGGGACGTCGTGGAGAGAATCAAGTATCCAGATTACAAGTTCTCGGTCAGGTATCACGATATAGCGTTACTCAAACTTGACCGACCGTTGGAATTGAATCCTCGAGTACGTCCCGCGTGTCTCGAGATAAACTCCCAGATACCGGGCAAGAGCGCTATCGCTTCTGGATTTGGCAAAACGTCTTACGGTCAGTATCTCTCAAACGTCTCCTGTTGTTGTATTACGAATAGTGTTTTACATTAATTTACGTATTATTATTTTATATTATTTATTCGCACATCAAGAGATTTAATACGCATCCATGCGCAGAATCTAACGTCGGTAGCAATGACCTGATGAAAGTCCAATTGAATTACATTTCCGAAGATGAATGTAAAAAGGCTTACATCGAGGATATTGGTACTCGGAAGCTGCCCGATGGCTTGATATCGAGCTTACTTTGTGCTGGCATAATGGAAGGTGGTAAAGATACCTGCCAGGTATGAAAAATTATTTAGGATTACTGTCGAATTTTTTGTCTTTTAATAAAGTTTCGAGGAAGTTTTTCTTTAATAAGTAATAAGATACATTGTAAATTAGATACAAATTATAGATTTAAATAGAATATATTTGATAATTTTTATGTTTAATAATTTGATAATTTTTATGTATTAAATATATCTAAAGGATTAAGAAGAGATTCCAATAGATTTCGATCATTTGCAGGGTGACAGTGGTGGTCCGTTGCAAAGAGTTCTTGCGAATCCTTATTGCATGTATAGCGTCGTAGGTGTGACAAGCTTCGGAAAGTTCTGCGCCTTTAAATCTTCACCCGCGATATATACTCGAGTTAGCTCTTATCTCGATTGGATAGAGAGTATCGTTTGGCCATGAAACTCAGACACAGAAACTACCTACTTAATGCTTATATGCTAATTTTCAATTTTATTTTCAACATTTTTGAAGAATAATCGACGAAGGATGCTCATGTGTAGTTATCGGGATTGATGAGAATTAAGGAATAATTAAAATAAAAATGACAAACAACATATATATTACAATCATCGGTGTAATTTTTATTGCAAAAAAGATAATAGTTATTCATTGATATTTACAATGCGATTTCCAAATGTATGTATATACGTACAATCCAGTGTAATAAACATCTGCAACTTGTGCATTTCATACAGAGAAGTATATTCTAATTAATAACAATCAACGATGATAAAATGTATATAATAGATAATGACTAATATGATCTCTGTTAAAAATAGAATAATATTCAATATTCAATCCACACAATTCGGATAAAAGAGGGTAAAAACAACGCGAGAAACGTTACAACATTAACTTTAACAGTTGTTATAGTATGTCCAGTATATATTGGAGGATATACATTATTAAAAATTATTAAATATTACAAGATAAATAAGAGTACGGAAAACGAGGATTTACGTTTAAAACAATCTACGGAGACGTGATCTGCTTATTAAAAGGAATCTTGATAATCGTCCAGTGAGATAAGAGATGCTTAAAATTTCCATCGATACACAATTAAAATCCTTATAATGAATACGTATATTATTTACATTATGTAGATATCAGTCTTACGGCTCTCGAAAGGAAATTACGCGTATATGTATATACACACGCGAGCGCAGGTCTTGTTACTGATTAATAACTGATCAACAACTTGATGAACGGACACCAACTTGATCTGGAGTAGCATAAACTGGCTTCTTTGCCACCAAAACGACCAATTATCTCACGCATTTCCGATACATGTTTTCGCTTCTTTTAAATCTAAATCACCGTATCAAATTGTAAAGAGAAGAAAGAAACGAAGAGAAGAGAAGAAAATAGAAGAGAGAAAAGATACGAGATAAACGAAAAGAAACAATGCTGTTTCATTCGTAAAGGGATTTGATTAAAAATTATCTCGTTGAGAAAGCGAGAGTGGAATATCGTTCGTTCGTGTCCACTTCGAAGAATAGATTGAAGAATCCTTACGAACAGAGAAAGCAGTTCCGTTAGGACTAGGAGTTAGTTATCAGAGTCCTATACAGAATGCGTAGAGTGGCGCAAGCCGCTGGCTAGAGTTCTGTCGTCTATTCCCGTAGTCATTCCGATGTTTCTTTCAATAATTCTGCAATTCAAAGCACTCTCTCATTCACCGCGAAAACCGTGCCGCCTCCGGTGGCCTTCTCTCGTTCCTGAAAGCAAAACTCAGATCGCTGAGCATTGAACATCGCTTTCGCTTCACAACGCGGGTGGCATTGTATTTCTGTGCGTGCCAGGGTATACACTAGCCAGAGATCATCATGCATTTTACTCAACTCAAACGAGAGGAGCAGGCACGGGCATTGAAGTGGCAGTGCTTTGAACGTGCTGGAAGAGAGTCAAAAGTGTGACTTCAAAGAAACGATCCTTGTAGGCACTCCATATGCAGAGGCCTACCAGATGCGAGATAAGAACTGATCGGTGGTAGCCAGTTGGATGCCAGAAAGTATCACGTCCGAAAGACGTTCGTGCGTTTACAGGACATGCTCCAGTTTACCATTGATTTGTTATTCCGATGTTCGGAATTGCGTTAATCATTAACTCATGAACGCCTGAGCAAGACGAACATTTCAACAACAATCGAAACAATCGCACTTTTACACTGGAAAAAAATATGAAATATATCGGACACATCTAGAGTTCGTCTTTTAATATTCACAAATTAATGATTGACCGCACGCGGTGTCTGTTTTAATCGAACTGCTCATCGAGGACTCATTCGCTCTTATCGCAATTCATTCATTCGTTTCATTTATTTCTAAGTCCTTACTTGTTTAAAATACGTGTGTTTGTAGTGTGTGTGTGTGTGTGTGTGTGTGTGTGTGTGTGTGTGTGTGTGTGTGTGTGTGTGTGTGTCGCGTATATCCCTAACTCTGTATATACATATATATATATAAAATATAATAAATCTTCGTTAAAAAAGGTCTCCGTAAGAAGTGAAAGCCAAAGATAGTTAAAGTACATATAGTTGCGCTTTAAGAGATTAATAGTTTAACATTTCACAAGATATATACATCTAGTATCGTTTATCTTCTCGAAGCGAATATTCTAACTTAACGACCGCCGAAACTTCGTGTTCACCGTGTGAAACTATTATTTACCCTCTAATCGCGAAACGGTACACGGCCGGAAGAGGAACTGTGAAAGGAAACGGCATATAGCATACCGGCTAGAAAACAAGAGCTACCGTTGACGATTTCCGTATCGTTTCGTATCTTTCTGCTAATGGAGTTCGCGTCGATTTGCGAACGGTTACCTGCCCCCTCTACCGTAAGCCTTTTTCGCAGTTGTTAGTTAATAACGTAACTTTTCAACAACTCGACAACTCGACGATACTCTATTGCCTAAATAAACGCAGAACAGGTTTAACAAAGAGCGCAAGAACATAGGGAGAAACGCTTACAAAGATCACGTTTTACGGGTTTGCGTTGTCTGGGCGGGATGAACTATTATACGCAGGCACTACGCAAGACAAACCTCTATAATTCCTCAAGGCACCCTAAGGCACATCGCGATGCAATTTCACGCAGTAATCTCGCAGTTAGCTATACCGAGGCCTCGGGAGACCTACGCGCGTTGTCTTGTCTTCCGTTATGCTCGTATAAAATAATTGGCACACTCGGTCGATGATCTATGTTCCACAGAGAGGATCATGTTAAGGGTGCCGGGGAAAGAAGAAACGGAAGTAAAAGAAAGAATGAGAAGAGGGAAGAAGCGTACAAAGGAAGAAATGGTGAAAGCTTACAGAACTATATAACATTGGCCGATATGACGAGACCAGCGAGATTTCGACTCGAGGATGGAAGCTCGGACCCCGACGGACTCCTTCTGTCCGCAGGCGGACCGAAAATCCCAGGAATGGGGAAGCAGAGGAGGAACAGGAGGAATGTCGAGAAGATAATGTGCGACGATGATGTCCGCGCTGCTGAGCGTGGTTGCTGGCGTTACTGGCTGGAGGCAGACGCTGGATGACCTCGATGAACCGGTCATACGATGTTGCGGATGCTGGGACCTGGAACAATAACGATGCATAACGATAAGATAACGCGGCCTACAATGTATGTAGTTATGTGATTCGCTGATAACATGTAACGAGGCCTGAAAGTGTCCATCGTTAAATAATTGTGACGAAACGGTAGATGTAGAATAACAGGCTAGTGGATCTCAAGCGTGAATTTCTGAATTAACTTTTAATAGACACGTAATAAAAACGATTACTGATCAAAAATTACGCGGTATCTTTACGAATTTGCATGATTAAAATTCTTCCAGTTAGAACTAGTTAGGGCTCTTTTAAACAGCGGATTAATTATATATATTACAAGTTGTGTCAAAAATCAAAGTCTACAATTGTAAATTAAAGTGTGTATTACTGTGTCGTATTTTTAAGCAGTTTCGATAATTCGATTTGACTAGGAATCAATAATTTAATTTGCCGTCATAAACTATTCCAATTTAAACAGAATATGACGTAATTACTTAAAATACGTTACAAAAATACGTTAACGCGTTTTTCTTTCCGCTTGCCGTCGACAAGTTAGCGCGAGCGCAGCTTGATTAAAAGCGTTCCGTATTCTACTTTTGCGCCTCGGCGACGCGGAATGGAAACGCGTCGGGGAAGTTTCGCGACCACCAGCTACGATTTCCAGCGGCGCTCAACAATGCTCGGCAATTAAGACGGCTGCCTTTTTCTCGGCGACACGCGGAATGCGTGTAGGTACGCATTACATATACGGGAACGCGTGCAAACACCGCGAGCAAGCAAGCAACAAGCGCGCAACCGCTCGAGGTTGTCGAGAAGTCGAGATTACCCCGGTTCGTCCCACGCGTCTAGACGTCTTAAAGTTCTTTTTCTTCGTTTGTCTCTCTTCTCTCTCTCTCTCTCTCTCTCTCTTTCTCTCTCTCGCTCTCGCTGTTCACCAAGGCGTGGTACCACACGGCGTGACCGCGGTGCGGCACGGCCGCGCGGTACACACGATCCTGTGCCACCACTTCTTGTAGCCACGCCTCGAATAATGTCTACAGGATATCTCAGAAGTCGTGTACTTCCTCTCCGTAGGGAGATAACATTCATTGCTGAATTGTCTCATCGTCGAGAGATAAAGAGACGTCCGCAAGAGTTCGACCCTCCGATGCACTCCGGATTAAAAGTTACTCCTGCAGTCTCTTATCGTACAATATATGTGCAATCGTAGCGAGAAAGAAAGAAATATCGGATTACCGAGAATGTTCTGGTCTATATTTATCATATCACGTACTCGAAAATGTTGTATAATTTTTAGTATTATTTTATCGTAAATTGCGTCGTATGCAAAACTTTCAAACGAGGTGATAATTGGATCGTGCATCTGAGGGTTAAGAGGCCATCGGATCGTTTGGCATCAAATATTGTAAATGCGTCGTAGAACAGTGCCAGATAATTAAGAAACAAATTATTTACAACGTCATCTTGAAGAGATCAAATTTCATTTAAATAACAAACCAATTATTAAAAAAAATATTTAATAATAATCTATCATATTAATAAAAACTAAATAAGATATAAATAATTGAGATTGATATTAAAGTATTAAAAATAGATAATTAAAAGTAAAAAGAAAGGGAAAGAGAGAGTATAAGTGTGTAAATGCAGTACTTTAAAATTTCACAAGCTATTTGAACAAGCTATTTGAGAGATATTTTATATTCATTGAAAAATCTACGGTAGCACATTGCATTTGAAACACTCTGTACATATCTTCTCTGTACACATCATGGTTGAAATGAATGATATCGTCCAGATAAACCACGGTGTTTTATTTTTAAAACACATTATCCCCCGCAGTGATACAACGAGTTTCCTCAATTCTTAAGCAATAACTTAAACCTTTCGTGGTAATTTAAAAGAGCAGACACTCACTCAAAGATCAATAAATTTCTTTCAACATTGTATATCAAGCGTAACGAGATAAATTATGAGGAACTCGTAAAAGATATATAATGTTGTCAATATTTTAATAAGAAAAAAAGATAATCTCAAGATAATTAAAAGTATCTTCAATTTAAATTTCTATATTTATATAGAACGCTTTCCAATTACAAAACATCCAAAAAAATAGGCAAATAATTTAAAATCAAAATTCTATTGAAAAAACTAATACCAATAGTACCTCTTTAATTTAATATTCATTTTACGGAGAAGAATTTAAATATTCATATTATAATTCAATATGTAAAATAGGAAAATTGTTTGCTGAATGGACCGTGAAATTTTGCAAACGTACAACGTTGTGTGCGCGACGATGCGCGAATACAAGCCGTGAGCGTCGCGATTTTTCACGGCTTGTTCGATTCTTCGTGGTCTTCTCGGTCACAATGCTTGGAAACGCGGGCATTAAAGCCACTTGTTCCATCTCTCGCCAAACGACATCTCCGCGGGAAAGCGCGACGGCAAATATAGACCGCTTTAGCAGCACCGGCAAAGTGGGTTAACGCGTTCGCGCCCAGGGTCGGGTTTCGTAAAACTTGAAGTCACGGAGTCAAATCGTCGAACGCGAGTCAAATCGAACGCGAATCTATCTCGGATACGCGCACATCATGTCACACCTCGGTCGGACGGATCAGGGTCGAGGACGCTTTACGCTTGGAAAAAGATCCATTTGTTATGCTTATAACAACGCGCGCAACTATGTCACGCTATGGTTGGCAGTGTGTCAAGGACCGCTTCGCAGTCCTTTCTGACCGTGAAAATAAATCCGAAAAAAAACCTTGCCGTTAGGTGCTAAATCTCGGACGTGAGCTCGTCGATCTCGCGAGAACAGGTCTCTGCGCTTTGGACACGAAAGGAAAAGTATCGTTTGGAATATCGCAACTAAGGGGAAAGTCGTGGCGTGGATTTTCCGGGCGGAAAATCTAAGACGAGATTCGATCTCGTCTACATTATTAGCACAGGAAGGAAAAGAAGAAGAAAAGGAGGCGAATGAATGTATGCGTAAATATACATACGTGCTGCCCTCAGAAAAATGATTAAAAATTATCGCCCCGGCGATACCACGTGGACCGATCTCCCCTTCATTCACTCGTGACTTCAGCGTTATTTATATAACATTTATCGAAAGATTAACACACTCGACTCCGCTCATTGGACGCGTCCAGGCTTGATTCCCTCGAATTCGTAACACACCTACTTCAGAGATTGTCGTTTTGGCGAAAATATCTCTTTAGTTTTCGAAAATTAGATCTGGGAAGATTCAAAAACTTCGTTGCAAAGAAAACCAAAGTTTGCTTGAAATTAAGTAAAGTAATGAGAACTTTATTATTTATTTGCAACAAGCCGATTATACAAAGCCGGTACTTTGTTCTCCATCTTTTAGCGCGAGAAGTAGGACTCGTCTTTCTTCTTCATTTTCAAGCTTGCAATACAAAGTTTTTTAATCTTTTTTTCTTTTATATCTCGTATGTCACGCCACGATGCATCTGTAATGCGACAACAGGGGGGGGGGGAGTAAGAGAGATGAAAGGAGGTGCGGCGCGGGAATGCGCCGAGGAGATCGGCGTGTCTTGCCGTTGCGTCTTGCGTGGTAACAACCTTTCGTTAAGGCGATTAGAGTCGCGCGACTCTCCTTGTCGGTCGCGCCTGTTATCGCGCTTGTCTCGCGTACGGCCGACGACGGTCGGCCACGTTATTTATAGAGAGAAAGTCAACTCAAGAGCCGCGCTCACGCGCGGCGAGAAAGGCCGCTCGAAATTTTGCGAGAGGCGTGATTTCACAGGCGACAGTTTCGGTCGATCGTAGGGCTCGATACGCGAGACGCCGGGACGATAGCAAGACGAAAAGCTTTGTGATCCACCTCGAGCTTTCCTCGGCACACACCCTCGAGAGGAAACTCGTTGCACTTGCACGGTTAATAATAGCACGCGGGAGAGCATCCCGTCTGTGCGCGAGACGGGGACGTAAATAGATGACATATGAATCTCCCAAGAGCGAGACTGTCATCGTCCAGGTCCAGAGAGGAGCGATGAGCTCTTACTTTGTAATGTTTAATGAGTTTCCGCATAGTTTTGTGTATGAGAAAAAATATATAATTATTTAATTTCCAGTTTTTTTCATATTTAAGAAATAGAGAAAAGAAGAAAAAAATTTTTTTTATTATAATGAATAAATAAATATTCGAATTATTTAATAAAAATGTTACGTTAGATAGTAATAATTACAATTCACAAATCATTATCTTCATTATCGCGACAATAATTTTTGTCGCTTTCCTTTATCGAAGCACGGTTTGGTATTTGTTGCACCTTGGATTTAGCAACATTTTTGTCAACACGCTTAAAATATGCTTCATTAAAATCCAAGTATGTATATAATCCCTTAAGAAGCAGCATGTAGAGCCCGCTGATGTTACTGCGCGCTGCATTGAGAATCCGTATAATACATCGAGTATAATACATCGGTATTATAACTGCAGATTCTGCAGTCTCACCATTTATCAACTAGCAAACCCGAACGAATCTTCGACCTCTCGCTTCTTATTTTACGTCGCGTGTAAGGACCAGCCCATAAAAATACGTGCCATTTCAAGCACGCAAAAGGAGTGTAAGGATACGAGTGTACGAGTAGATCCGTTTAGCTTAAGAGCAAATATGGCAGTGAAAGTTACCAATGAATTAAATTAAATTTACGTACTACAAAACTTTATACGTTTAACTTTTTACGTGTTTAATTAAAAATTTCTATTCTACTAGGCTCATAAAAAAAAATAAAAATTCAATATATATATATATGCTCTTAAATAATATAAACCTAATTATAAAAAAAAGTAATCGTCTTCACATTCCAGTTTCATCACGAATGTTTAGCGCTTAGTTGGAATGCTTTAAGCAGAGGTTTTACCGCCTCTTTCTTTCCGTAAGCCATCGCCCATCGCGAAAAAATAAGCGTTAAAACTCGGCGAAGCATTCTTACCCGAAAAAAGAGATAAGGGCAGGAATCGGGGCTTACCGTGCAGATTGCGTTATCCGACGCTCGGCGTCGTCCGACTCCGCCACCCCGTTATCCACCCTCTCTCGATTGTTTTTTTCTCTCGCACGCGCGCGTTCTTGTTTCCTCGTTTTTAATTCGGATCGTCACACAGTTTCTCCTCTCGCGCTCATTTCTCCATCTGTCTCTTCATCCCTGAGATGATTTCGCGTTGCCTCATGAGATGCCTGGCTCGTGGTCCCGCGTCTCGGCGTAGTTGCCGAGGTGAGAAAACTGGAGGGGTTTGTACAGCTTCGTACATGATTTGAGATATCGAGACGAGGAGGGGCACGACCTCCTTTTCATCGGTACTGGTGGCTTCACCAGTAGGGCGCGTCGTTAGCTAAGTGTTGCCAGGACGCGAATTCGCTCCAAGTACGCATGTTCAACCTGGTGGCTTCCGCGATCTGCGGTATGCTGCCGTCTCTCGTCTCGTTGCCGTTGGAGACGTCGCATTTCGTCGTCTGGATGTTGTCATACCGCACTCGGGGCTAAAGCATTGATAAAACATTTCAGACTTTTGATAGGCGTCCGTATCTGTAATAAATTTTAGTGCGATTTATTTAGTGCACATTGATCTGCATATGAACAAAAAAGAAAGCAGAAATTTTTATGATTGCCGAATAATATGATTCCCGGATGCTTACTTATATTACTAATTTAATTAGTTATATTTATAGAATAATATTTATTTATAATCAAACTTTATAGCTTTTCTATATCATGAATTGTTATTTTAATGTGAGCTTAAGTCGAAACATTTGTAATTAAATTTTAAATATACTTTTTAAATATAATTTTTTCGCTTTTTAAATACCTTTAAACACCTTTTACGTTCGTTTTTTGGTCTTCCTTTACTTTATTTATATTGCTGTAGCATTACACAAGCTTTTTTAAATTTTTTAAATTTTTATATGATTATATCTTCTGTCTTTTTTTAAGAAAATCGAATAAAAGTTAAAGACGTATTACGTTGAGTATTGCGCAAAGAACACGATTGTTTTTTCAGATGTGCACATTCTAGAGAAAAGTTAATCCTTGGAAATCAATGAATATCTTTGAATAAATCATGCTGAATCGCCGCTGCTTGGTGGTGCAAATATTTGGTGAAGGTACCCAAGATTCTTTGGATATGCATACTCGTAAATAAAATCACGTAACTTTTACGAAATATGTCAGTTTGTCAGTTTGTATGGAACACGTAAGTGCATCGTCGCAAGGACTACAAATAAAAGTGACGTCATGAATACATTTAATATTCCGCAAATATTAAGAGACTAAATAATCTTTTTTTCGAATAGTCTTTTCCAAAGTAATTATACCTTCGAGTTTACAGCAGCTATTCAAGGATTACTACGCATTTGAGGCTCAAATCGTAATCTAAGAGGAAAGAACGAACGACGTTCCAAGAAGGATAAGACACCAACCTCCTGCTTCTTGCGGACCACGTAATTTTTGCCCTCGTTATTGTCCCACAACTCCTTGCCTTCGGTGCGATATCTCACACAGAACTCGATGACATTCGATGCCACTGGCAAGGTGAGCCGGAAGCGGAAGGTGTCGTACAGGATGAGGGAACCCGGCGACCCCGGTTGCGCCACGTACGTGCAGTGTACGTCTTCGTGGGTGGACCAGCTATCGCTGCTGGCCCTCACCACGACCTCCTTGTCGTAGGCCAGATTCCGTACCTTCACCGTGCCCACCAGGCACTGCTCGGACTCGCGCACGATCACGTTCTCCAGGCTCACGTTCTCCTGATCGAGCTTGCGACGGAAGGCGAGATAGTCGCTCGCCGGTTGCTGGAAGGTCACCTGCCACGGCGGCGTGCTATCCTGCGTCGCTTCCTGGCTATGATCCTTCGACGTGCCGAGCAGACCCCCGGTCAAACCAGCCACGTAAGCTGTGCTCCACAGTGGTGGTACGTTGCTCGGTTCCGACATCACACGGACCTATATATCACACATCGAGCGAAATATTGAAATACAGAACAAGTCGAGAGACAGGCAACGACATTTGTTGGACGTTAGCCCGACTGTTCTTATTGAATGATGAAATATAACGCTAGATTCTTAGTTAACGCTTAGTTTCCTTAATTAGAGAGTCAAATAGAGATATAAGTTATTATTAGAAAATGATTGCGATTTATGCGAGGAAGGTATATCCTCGTTAACTCGATAACATATCTATCATTAGGAGCCAATTTGGTTTTTAAATACTATTTCTGGCGAGAGATTAAATATTTATTATATAATTGCTATATATTTTATTGCTTAATTTTGATTATTAAATAATTCTATTAAACGTTTTGGCGTATTAAATTACATGCCTCTTGGCACTTACTTTTGACATGAATCCAATTCACACTTGTTATTAATATACTTTATCACTAATATTCACAAAGTTTAAATTATCACAAAGCTGGCCAACACATATCAAACGCTCCACAAACAGATTTTTACGCTATCTCACACAATCAATAAGAACAACTTCAAACAAAAACTACAATTTAAAAGCAAAGTAACAAACAATGTTATTTGATTCATCACTATTAGCTTTACTTCTCCTCCCGTTATTTCCTCTTTCAAGAGTAGACCAACACAAATCTATTTCTTGAAAGGGAATGGTAGCCGAAATTTTATGATTTATGACAGGTGGTTTATTTTACAAGTTTACAGATCTTTTTTTCCTATTTGTCGAAGAAGAGCAAGACATTGATGTCGTAACATGTGAGAAATAAAGTCCACCTGTTGTACAAGAGGACCGATCTCCCAGTGAATGACTCAACTTAACGAAAGCAAATTTAGCTTAACGAAAGTAAAAGAAATCGTGAAAATACCTGTGTGAGAGGGCGGCCGCGATCATCGGCGAATACCACTCGTTTTTTCTGCTTGCCACTGCCATCACTTCGCAGCGAATCCAAGGGCAAGCTTCCTGAAGAAAGACACGGCCTAATTCTGGGCGGCACCGATCTGCTAGTGATCGTGGGCGCTGTGACCACCAAAGGGCTGTACAGCAGGGGGCTGTACACCGGGGGGCTGTGCAGAATCAGTTCGGCCGGCATCGCTATCGAACACATTTAGATCTGCAAAAGAAAAAGGACAAATTGAAAGTTTTTTTAATCTGTAAAAAAGAAAGAAATTACACTTCGCTTTTACTTTAAAGTTTCAAATTCAAGAGCAATTTTGGAATGTAAATTGGAATTTCAAACTTAGGTATTTAAGTCTTGTAAAAATAATAAACATAAAAGATCTGTGAATCTTATATTCGCATATTATACTTTTTCTAACGCATAGCATTAAACGTATTATTATTTGACGCTGATAATACCTTCATTTGTTAATTATTCTTTTATGATAGAAAAAAAATCGTAGCGATAAATGACGACCACCTAAGAATTAAGTGCGAGAAACCAGAGAAAAACTGGAACTGTGCTGCCTTAGATCTCTTTAATAGTTCTTTGGCGCCTGAAATTTATTGACGTCGTAGTCATAGTTATAGCATTAATTTCCGCCACGAAATCGTACCGTGATATAGCGTTCAAAATTATCAGGAACGTCTCACGCTGCCAGAAATTTCGTCAACTATTCGAATCATCCCGGGATCACGTGGATCCATATAGCTTCAAAGCAATTAAAAATAATTGCTAGCTATATCGATTAATTGTCAATTAGCTCGTTCGATGCGTATGACGATAATGTGTTGATTGATTTATTTATTGGTTACATTCTTCGCAAAAACGATTGGCAAGCGCCTCTTTATAAAATTAAAAATTTGTTATGATAAGTGCGCGTAATTTATTTTACATATTTTGCCGAATTATCAATTATTATCTCCTACGTCAAACATGGCCAGATATGATGCTGTCAATCATTTTATTCGACTGCATTATATTATTTTATAAAATGATCTGTCTTATGCGTTACGTATGCACATTTTTGTTTCAAGATACGGTAAGATAATGTAGTTAAAAGGTGAACGAAATAAATGATTAAAGATTATCATCCAGCGACATAAGTAAGATTTATTACATCTTATTAAAATGAATTTTTCAGATAAAAATAATTCAGATGTGATAAAATCGATTTTTTTTTCTCAAAAATAATATACAAAGTGTGATAGAATGTTTTTCCTAGAACAAGTATCTCACAGAGTTATTGTTTGTTAAAATAATTTTAAGAATTTTTCTAATATATTTTTATCATATCTAATATATTTTTATAATATATGTATTTATATACACACATATTAATTAATAGAGAAACTCAACGTACGAATAGTCGCGTAGACGATCTTATCTAAATGTCAGATTCAATCTTATTTATATATCTGTCACTTATATATCTCTCTCTCTCCTCTAATTTTGCAGCTAAATAACGTTTACGTGTATCTCGATTATCTTACGAATTCTTACTTAAAAAGAATGTAACTCTATTTTGCACAAAGTTATTGCATTTCGTGATTGCGTTTTGCGACAGATCGTAAATCTTCGGGCCTGGTTTTAAGACTAAAAAAAAAAAAGCCAAGATTGGCGCTTGGGACTATATTTGCGCACATAATTTTGCCATTGATACACTTTTGCGTGCCGGCGTATATAATCTATATACTATATAATACTATATAATCAAGTTACTCGCGGAGTAGAATTACGACTCTCGAGCACGACGAATCGGCGAGCAGCTCTTCCTTTTCTCGGGGACCGGTTCCGGGTGAACCAGGCCCACCGAGACGCGACACGCATGTACAATAGGTAACAGACCGAAACCAAATGGCAACGCCAGGAGAATCGGCGGACCATGAATCGCGCGAGTGCAATTTCAGGTCCTCAGGTCCTCAAAATTGGATTTAGTATTACGTAGGTAATTAATTTGCAACAGATTGCAGATATTATTAATAGAAGCGAGTTTTTGTCGAATCCCGTATAAGCGGTGCGCAATGCTGGTTTCTTTCGACGAGGCAAGAAAGGAGCGGCTTACTTGATATTAAAAATCAATCGAGATGAGCTATAAAATCAGTAGGACAACTACCGGAGCGATTAAGAGATTTAATTGCGATGATTTACGTACGTATTTCAGAACTGCATGTTTGTTCTCTTATTGAGTTAGGCATTGGGATATTTGCAACGTGGTTGTAATGTCCCAATATTTATACTTATGTATCTGATAAAAGTAAATATAATATGCAGGAATATAATAATCATAACAAGTACTGAGTATTGCGAGCAAAATTAAAAAAAATTATTATTTCGATCTAGATAAGCTTGATCATAATTAGATATCAATTAGAATGATTATATTTATTATCAAATATTATATATATTATATATTATATATTATATAATAATTATTATATATATTATATTATATTATTATTTATTATTATTAAAATAAATAGTCTGCAGGAGAAAAAAATTTTATAAACTAGAAACTAAGTTAACAGATTGGATGTTAGATATTGTATCAGAACGTTTATTGTAAAACTTTTAAGTATTATATAATTTATGATATTGTTCATCATGTATAAAGATCGAGGTCGTATGGGTCCTATTCTCTTTCTGAATGATTTAGCAAGCTTTTTGTTTGGTCTAACGATTTGCACAAAAAAAACTTTATCGTATATTATGTTATAAGTCTCATAATCATCTTCCTGTAATTTTCCGGAGCCATTGAAATATGCTTTATCTACACAACGTCGATAACAATTGACAAACAGTAAAAGAGGATCAAAAATAACGTAAATCGGTTATGCAATTTGCCATTTTTATTTAGCGAACGAGAAAGTGATAATGAAAATATAAAAAAAGAGAAAGAATCAAAGAAGAATCATTCGTTTGCATAATAATATTTTTATGATCAAGAATATAACATTATTCTCTCGCAATAAAGCAATGGGAGTATGGATATTACTAAAAGAATTAAGTCATCGTTTAATTTCATTAGTCAAAATTACTGAGACTTGGCCTCAGATACGCGGTAAAATGATTTATAATGGTCGCGATGATCCACGAGATTCGATCTCGCGGAATCCTGTCAGTCCCTTGATTATCGCACCTTTGTAGGCAATAAGCCTTCGACACGCCTCGTTGCACTTCCTATTCATCGACTCGACGACTCACGTCGACACGTTGCACTTTCCTCCTCAGGTGCACCGCGCCGCGTGTTCGAGCGCGATATATTCGGCCGCGGTATTTTTACCATTCCCGAACAGATCGCGGAATGAACGGGCTTTAACTCACGGCGGACTTAATTCTCCGATGCGACGTGCCTCGTTACGTCTCTATTCACGGCGCAATGCGTTTTTCCGAGACGCATCGCCTTGCGTGCTCGAGCGCGATATATCCCGCGATATTTTCATCGCGAACGCGAGAGAAGAAGAAAAAAAATCTCTCGAACTAATGATTAGGTCGGGCCGTCATCCATTAATTGTATATAAACAGTTAGGTAAACGTTATATAATAAACGCTAGACCGTTGGAAGGATGAAGTTCATAGAGATGTTTTATACTGCGTTTATACGTACAATATTGCGATGTATTTTCATAAACATTTATAACGCCATATGGAATAAAATTACATATAGATGTACAAATAATTAATGTGTATTATGTTATAGATATTTATGTAAATATAATGTATATATTTGTGTAAATATAATGTATATATAGATGTCTCGAAAATTGATGGTTATTGATTAGCGAACGTGCGACTCTTTTCGCTGCTGGTAAGAATAAGCGGCAAAAGAAATACAATCGTACATGTGTCAATTTATCTCCTGGCCTTTTCTGTTTACACATGCGAGGCCGTGAAAAGAAATATGCGACACGATTGCAGCGAGTGTCCGATACGTGCAAGTTGGATAGATGATTGAACGCAGCACTTGAAGGCGCACTTTTTCTGCTCTTCAATTAATGTATTGACAATTATATTGTGTATATATATATATATATATTTTATATTTTTTATAATTTTTATTATATTAATAAGTACTTTCTAGCACTTGAAATAAAGCTCTATCTGTGGCATAATCTTCAATAATAACCAGATAAATAATTGATAACTATAACGATAATCATATGTTTCATCACAATATTTTATAATTATAATCGGAATATTATTTGAATATTATTTTATAATATAATAATTCTATGATATGTTCATAATTTTCCACAATTCACATAATGTGACATCGCCTCATCTAGATAATAGCACATCACTTTTGCAAACAGACAAGACAGATCACATATTATCAGCATTTGTTAAGATTGTCAAATATGCCAGATGCATTTATCTCTTATATTCTTTATAAATTGCATTATTATTTACATGGATAAGCATGTTCTTGGGTCATGTGGTTACGTTTATGTCACACTTATCTTTATCTTTTTTTATTTTTCGTGCTTCAACCTTATCATTGGAACGTAACAATTTCAAAGCATTTTTATATAGAAAATTTTTTATATTTGTTTGATTAATTCGAAAAAAATTATTTTGTATTGTCATGTTTTGTTTATCATTTCTTTAATATATATAAAATAAAAAATGCAAAATATGATTCATTCTTGTAAGCCGAAGGCTTTTGCAATGCCAAGAGAGGTTTAAATGAAAAAGCATTTAAGTGCGACATTATGCAAAATTATAATTACAAAATCACAATTACGTAAAATTACATTAACAAACAATGTTTCCTTTCCGACCAAGCGAGTTTTATCTGGTTAGAAGGCTCGGTGAAGAAAATTACGCAGTCAAACTATTTTGGACAATCTCACGGCCAAATTTAGATTGTCGCGAAATACATCACGGCCTTGGATCTGATCCAATTGTTCGCACTCTTTAAGGTAGATATAAACTCGCGAATAACATCAAAGAGTGGAAAAGTGACGGCAAAATTCTCAGCCCAATTGCGAATTACTTGAAATAGAAAACCTTAACCTCGGATTAATAGGGGTCATGAAACTTGCCAACTTGTATAAACGGCAAATTCTCAGAAGCAAACTTAACTTAAAGAACCTAACAATGAGAAAATAAAAGCCTAATAAAGTGCTCTTGAATTTTTAGTCATGTTTTTTGTTTTTTTTAAACTAAATTTG